AGGCTGACAGCTCAGGCCAGCTCCACTCGGCAAACGCAATTAAGCGTCGTAATCGAGTGATGCGGGGGAGAAGGAAACTCGCTGCAGAGCAATGGAAGGGGACTAAAAAAAATCCATGCAGGAATGAGGTACGTAACAGCGGACACAAGGGATGGGGCGGGAGCAAGCCCGGCAGCAGCATCGCACCGAGCCCTGATCATCTCCTACTTCCAAGAACATCGCAAAACCAAAGGGGTTTGGCCAAGGAGCCGGTGGATCCCAGTGATGGATATCTGAGCTCCAAGGGAGGAAGCAGCTTTGCTCCATGGGGCTCTGTGGGCTGGAAGGTGCCCTGAGGACCATCACAGAGGATGCGCTGGCCATGGGAGAGGGTGACGGTACCCTCTGCTATGGCTGGGGAGCCCGGGGACCCCTCGAACCCTCCCAACAGCGGTTCTGCCCAGCGATGCTGCTGAGCGCTCCACACAAAGAGGCTGTGAATCGGCCCCGTGCCGGATATGAAACATTCCCAGGTGAGATAAAACCAAATCACCTGTCACTCAGCGCCGTATCTCCGGCGGCATCAGAGCCTCGTGACTAACAGGGCTTGGAAAAAGCACCACAGGCTGCAATCCTCTCTCCCTTGTGTTCCTGTCCCCATCACAAGGGCTTTTGCCCCAGCTTTTGAGCAAGGTTGAATTTTACACTCAATACAAATGGGGAGGAAAGAAAAAAGCACAGGATCTGCTCCATCAGCGGCAGGGAACCAGGTGCTCCTCTCAGGGAAGAGGGAGGGGGACAGGGAAAAGCAAGGACACAGGGATGCTCCCTGGCCGATGCTGGGCTGTGCATGTTTCTTGAAGCCCCACACTGTGAGTGCTGTGAATGACCCCTTGGTGCTGTTATGGGGTAGGAAGAGTTCAGGGGGCTCTCACAGGAATCCTGACTCTGCTCCTTGTCTGGAAGCAGGGAAGACCCTGGGGGAAATCACAGGAGCCATGATCCATCATGTGCCAGTGACCCGGACGGGATATTTTTAAGCAGGGAATTAAAAATAGACTCAGGCTGACAACGAGCATCCGCTCCCAGCATTGCTATCAACGGGGGCTGTGGGCTGTGCTGGGGTTCAGGACGCACCCCAGCCCTGCACGGTTATACCTGTGCCATGTACTGTTGGTCCTGGCTTGCTCTTAGGGTGGTTCTTGTGTCCCTGCCTGCGCCCTGGGCACTGGCACCATACCCTGGCAAAACCCTTCCTCCTGCAGCCTGTGAATGCTGGGTTCACTCTGCTGGGCTGATGATGCCCCTCTAGAAATCACACTGCCTCGTGTACGGAGATAATGCAGGCAGGCGCTGGCCCCGGGACCTGACTGCAACAGAGATTTGTTTCACTTGAATAACTTGCTGAATCTATAAATAAACTGGAGATGGGGGAAGCGGCCACAGAGCGCTGGAGCTTCTGCCTCCATGACCCCTGCAGCACCCTGACCACTGGCAAGGGATGCAGCGAGGAGGGTGCTCCTGGGACACGGCTCCTCTCCCAAAGGGGAGCTTTATGTGCCTGGAGCAGCTGCCTGCCCTCTGTGCCCCCCATCTCCAGCGCTTGTGCTTCTTGCCCCAGGGGCCATGACAAGGAGCCAAATGGGACCAGTTTCTGGCCTCGGGCAAACTCTGCTCTTGGTGAGATTTGGGATGCAGGAGCAAGGCCATGGGGTGGGGGGCAGCAGATCCTCTGTGCCACAGCAGCAGCTTGGAAAGACCCCCACCGCTGTATCCCTTCCTTCTCCTTCCTCCTCCTCCTTCCGCTTCACGCCTGGCTGCCCGTGGCTGCCTCTTCTCTGCTCCGTACTCTCCATTTGCTTTCCCAACAGATGTTGGTGCCTCTCCTCTAATGAGCGTTTTAACACCGGAATCTCACCACATCTCCACCCCCCCACATTTGACTGGGATGCAAAAAGCTTGACATCTGCCCTCAGCATCAAAGTCACTGCCCAAACACCCCGCACCCACCACGCCACCCGTGCCTCGCTCCTCCGGTGCTGCCGGTGCCACCACGGCTCGATGCCGGCACTGCCGCATTGGCGCTCAACACGTGGATGTCCCCCATGTGCCTGTGGGATGTGCTCATCTCTGTGGTGCCCCTTGGGGAACCGCATCTGGAAACAGGTGGGAGATGGGGAAAACCTCCTGGGATTTGCTGGGGAATGGGAACGGGGGTTGTTAGCCAAAACTGAGCTACGGGAAGCACCCACCTGCATGCCAGCACCTTTGTTAGCACCCGTCCCCTCCAGCCCTGGCTGTGCCACGGTGATATTAATGATGGGCAGGAGCTGGCAGGGGTTGAAGGCACCGTCCCCCAGCTGTGTCCTTCAGCATCTCTTTGTGTCCCTGTTGCCAACGGAGGAGGGCTGCGCGTGGGGCAGGAGGCAGCGATCCCAAATATCGATGCTGGTCCTGATCAATGCTATCTCCTTTTTCCATGCCTATGAGCTCATTGATTTTTTTCTTTCGTTGTTGTTACCTCTCTGTTTATGTAATGTCTGAACTTTGCACAACTGAACCGTTTAATGTGCAGAAAAGAGCCCTGTTGCCATGAAAACGGACCTGCAAATGACAGCACGAATGCGGAGATATCCCCGTTTTATTGGGCCATACTGAATGTATTTTAACCTTGATAAGTCAATAACTTTTGGTACAAAAGGAAGGAAAGCAGATAGGGCTTTCAGAGCCCTGAATGCATTTAAAGAGCAGAGTAATGGCCCAGTTTTAATCCCTTGCAAATCTTGCTCGTTCTGAGGGTCAGTCATTTCCAGCGCACGCTGACATTTTGGTCCAGGAATTACAGCGTGCGTTTGTCAGGATGAGAGATGGAAATGCTCAGCGCTCCCGTTGCCAGCTTCCCAAACAATGAGGGTAAATTAAAGGGACACCATCACCTTAAAGAGCAACTTCGGGCGGGCTCCCCGGTGCCGCAGCAGAAGGAGCTGCCCGCGGCCACCCCGGGCCCAGCCAATGCATTATTTATTCGTGCTAAAGCAGAAGGACTTTTACAAATCTCCCTCCGCCAGCTTCCTTTTTGCAATTCAATCCCCCTGGATGTGGAAGCGGAGCCGCTCTCACTTTGCAGGGCTCATTCATTAGCAGATTAAGGCTCTCCTTGTGTTCCCAACATCGCCGGGTGAAATTTATGTTCCGGCAAAGTATTCACTGGTTTCCCTGAATCACAAAAGTGGTTTTCCTCTGTAAAGGAGAAAAAACCCAGAAAAGGATGTAAATGGGGAGGTCAGAACTGCTTAATAGTGTCTTCTTGAAGGCAGTGCCAAAACACCCACCTTTTGAAGTCGGCTGCTTCAAGATGGATCTCTTCCTCGGCAAAACCACCATCCCCCTTTCAAGTCCCCGTGGGTGACTTGAGGTGGTTCAAACATCTGAGAAGAATGAGGGCTCCTTTTTGTATTCCTTTTTCCTTGGTGCCGAATAAAAAGCCATCTTTCTTCCTGACTTCCTAATAGCTTTGATTAAATTATCTTTGAAAAATCTAAGTGCTGCTCACAAATCCATAATGGTTTTATTCTTATCGCTGGCCTAGATTGCAACCCAGAAAGCAGATAAATAAGCTGCAGAGAATGCACAAAGCTGCACAAGAACCTGCCAGATCCATGAGCTAAAAATGTTTGAACTGAAACAAATGAATAGTATGAACAGCCCTGCTCAAAGAGGGAATTGATTCAATATAACGTATTTTCACAGGGAGGATAATACGTGTTATAATTACACGGCGGAATTGCTCTCCTGAAAGCATATCTAGCTATTATTTTAATTCCTCTACTTCCAGCACTTGCTGGATCACAAGTGGAGACTGGATCTTCGTGTGTTTGGAGATGTTGAGTCTCCTCAAATGGCTTTGCTCTCCTCCCGCACGCCAAGGCCCCATATACCTAAGAAGCTGCTGGCACTATCCTGAACGGAGGAGCTGAGAAGGCCCTGAGAAGAAGCCAAATGGACACCAAACCCTTCAAAGCTCACGGCTGGGAGGCAAGGAGCGGGGAGGCGATGAGCCCCGGGGCACATGTTGGGTGCCTTTACGGGTGCCGGGTGGTGGGAGCTGTACGTGTGTGTGTGTGTTACCCTCCCTGTCATCATTACGGGCAAGAGTGAATGCGCTGATTCCCAAAGTCCCCTCTGTCTGCCCTCCCTGTGGCAAGGGGCCACCCGGCTTGGGAACAGCATAAAGGACTAAGGAGGGCAGCGCTTGCCTGCCTGCGCACGCCGCGGGGGGCTCTGTGGTGGCTGCGCCCATCACCGGGGTGTCCCCGGCTCCCGGCCGGTGGTGGCTGTCCGCGGGTGAACTCCAGCCGAGGCTCCATCCCCTGCCTGCACACACCGAGCCGATGCGGAGAAGGCGTCTTCGTGCCCTCGGGGGCTGCGGGGGACCCCTCCCAGAGAAGCCCATCCGGGACTACGACTCCCATGATGCCCCGCGGCGCCAAGCCGCGGCCACACGCGGCGGGGCTGTCGCGGGGCACGCCGGGAGCTGCAGTCCAGCGCCGCCGCGGGCGCGCCCGCTTCGAAATCTCCCGCGAAAGGGGCGCGCGTGCGGGAGGCCCCGCCCCTCCCCGCAGGACGCGCGGCGGCGTCCCCTTGGTAACGCGCCGGGGGCGGGGCCTTGCCGCGTGCGGCCGCCGGGCCCCGCGCGGGGCGCTCAGTGTCGCCGCCGCCGCGCACCGGGCGGGAGCAGCGCTGGGGCCCGAGCCAGAGCCCGCACGGCCCCGCCGCCATGGAGCGCTGAGCCGAGCTCCGGCCGCGCCACGGGCACCGAGCGGCGCCGCACAAAGGAGCCGCGGTGCGGGGGGATGCCCGCGGGGTCCGGGGTTGATTTTGGGTTGATTTAATTCGGTTTTGAGCGGGTTTTTTTCCGCCCCTCCCGTCCCCGCCGCCGCCCCGGGGGCAGAGCGCCGGGAGCCGCCGCACGCTGGCCGCGCACGGGGCGGGGCGGGCCGCCGGCGGGGCGCGGGGCCGGGCGGGCGCCGCCGCTGCTGCTGCGCGGCCCGGGGGGGGCGGCCCGGAGAGCCCCGCACCGCAGCGGCCGGAGCCGGCCCGGATCCAGCTCTGACGGTAAACGGCGGCGAGCGATGGGGAGGGCGGGGGGAACGGGGGAGGGAAATCACCGGCGCCGTGCGGAGGGGGGGGGGAGGACCGGGAGGGACCGGGGGGGCTCCGGCTCCTGGGGCGCATCGGAGGCGGCGCCGCCGCAACGCGGAGCCCGGCGGGGCTCGGTTTCCCCCGGCCGCGCAGCCGCGGGGAAGGAGCGGCGGGGTCGGAGCTGTTGCCGGCGGCCAGGGCCCGGCTCGGCCGTCGCTACCGGAGAGGAACGGGAGCAACTTTTGTGGTTTTTTTGTTTTTTTTTTGTTCCCCGTTATTTTTTATTTTTAATTTTTTTTTAAATGGCTTTTTCGGGTCGCCCGACTCGGGAGTGGAAATAAAATATCCACGGGTGCCTCCATGAGGAAAGCTGAGACACTTCCAGCGGAGCCGTCCGGGAGCTGCTGCTGCCGTCCCTTCCCCACCGGAAAATAGGGGATTTTTCTCCTCGCCCGGAGAAAGGGGCGGCGGGGAAGAGCCCAACGGGAACACCGGAGCGGGAGCCCCGCCGGTGCGGATACCGCCGGTCACCGAGGAGCCGAGAGGAGCAGGATCCAGCGGCGATGCTTCACGGAGAATCCCGTTTCCCCGCCTGCCGCCACCGAGCACGCATCTCCCAGCACAAGCCCCGCTGCGGAGGGAGCATCCCTGCGGCATCATCTGGATCGCTGGGAATACGATTCACCGAGGCACCGTGGTTCCCAGGAGCTCATGGGCATCGCTGCCGGGCGTCCACCGAGGCTGCCAGCGGGGCCGAGAGGGTTGTGCCGCCTTTCCGGCTCGCTCCCGACCAAACCCGAGGTGTTCCCGTGGTCCCAGCATCCCGATCCGGCTCCGGGGAGAGCCGCCAGATCGTAGGGATTGAATGGCCGGAGAGGCAGGGCCTGGATGCGGGGAGCCGGAGGCAGCTTGCTGCAGGTGACGCCGTGCCACGGCTCCGGCCCTGCGGGTTTATTCCCGGGGAGGGCGGTGGGGAAGTTTTACATCCGTGCTTGGTGTTTTCCAAGGGGGGAATTTGCTTGGCATCGGGCAGCGGTGGTTTGCCTGGCCCTCATTGTCGGGGCACAGGTGGCTCTGTAAGGAGGTTTTGTGTGTGTATATGTGCATCTCCCTGCTATAGGGATGCTCCTGTTCGGAGGCTGCAGGCAGCTCGCCCGGGCGGGCGATGTGTTTCCATGGAGGACAGAGCATTCCGGGCCATGGGGGTCTGCGGGCAGGGCAGAGCCATGTGGCTCCTCGCTAGGGAATATCCTGCATCTTGCTCGGGATGATTTGGTGGGATTTGGCAGTTTTGTACCTTCCCGTGCCCCTGTGGTGGGGTTTTGCCATCTGGTGTGCCGGGCTCCAGTGCTGTGGTGGGACCGTGGCTGGCAAAGCCTTGGCACACGGGCTCCTGTGCTGGCATGTGAGGTGGGAAGCATCCCTGGCAGGGGGTACGTGGGGATCCCGGCTCCTCGGGAGGGACTTTTCCTTATTAAGGATCCATAAGACTTTCAGGAGTGGATTTTCGGGTGCTTGGGTGAGCTGTGTGCTTGGGTCAGGCTGCCTCGACGCTGTAGCAGGAGAGGGAAGCTCTCACCGCGGTGCCTTCTTCTGACCTTGTGTGTAGCCCTGGGGGAGGGAAAGCCTGGCTTTTCGGGAGCCTGGCTTCTTATCCCGGCTTTAGGAATGAGTGGGACGGTACCGGTGGGGCACGGAGCAGTGTGGGCTGCCAGAGGAGCCCGTTTCAGCTGAGGGTGTCATTAAAAGCTGAAATATCTCAATTTATCCCCAGGCTGGAGCTGAGAAGCCCATGGAGGGAGGAGATGGGGTGGCTGCTGCTGGGGGCCACATTATCTCTGGTTATCTGCCTGATTTTATGCCTTGAACACGCATCCATCCCTGGGGAGCCTGTTCCCTCCTGGTGCTGTGTTTTGATCGCAGGCTCCTGCCCTGCCTAGGATGCGCTCTGGGTCCCAGGACCGAGGGTCTCTGGTGTCCCACGACCCCGCAGCAGTGATCCACACCGAGCTGCTCCCGCCGTGCCCGCAGCATCAGCGCCGGGCTTTGCATCCTGCCAGGCAGCTGAGTTCATTTCGCCTGAAGCGGGTTTCCCTGCATGGCCTGAACTTGTGCTGGGAAACCTGCGGTGAAGCCGAAATGTTAGGGGGGATCCAGCCCTCCCTGCGCCCTCCCGCTGCCGGGTACCAGGGATGCGGCTCCGGGGCGATGGGGATCAGAGCAGGACATCTTTCCCGGCAGGATGCGGTCTTTTGGGGTGGTGTTTGGTGCTGGGGGAAGGGGGGGGGGGCGCTGCCGGTGCCCCCCCCCCGCAGGGATGCTGCAGCTGGTGGGGGGAGGATCGGGGGCTGCACCTGCAGGACCCCGCTCCCGGCCCCGCCGGCATCTGCCGCCGCATGTCCGTCTGCAGCGGGCGCATGCATGCAAAGAAATAAGACATTTCTTTCTCTTCTGCCTGCGCATTCCTCAAAAAGCTAATATTCATGAAAGGTAATTCAATCAAACCACGATGCCTATCAGCTAATGCCGCAAAGCTGGCGCAGGGGTGAGAATGGGAGCCAGGAACACAAAAGCCCTGTTTTATTACCTCCTGCTTGCCTGAGAATTGCTTTTCTCCCTCGAGTGAGCCGGCTAAAGCTGGCTTTATTATGTTAACCTATTTGCGTGTCAAGAGCTATTGTGCCTCTCTTTATCTGTGTTTGTATTTGCTCGATGCAGGGAATAAAAGGACGAGGCGAAAATGGATGGCTGGTCAGTGCTTTGCACTCTGGGGGCACTGATTGGTTGCTAAGTGATTTGCATCCCCGGTAATCGCTTTTATCTCGGAAGGATGTCGTGTATAATTATAAGCCTACTGACATCTTTTGAAATCTGCCTAATGGGTGTTTTTAATTTACATGGGAAGCAGGGGCTATTTGTGTTGCTCTGATTACAGGTTGTGCGCCAGTGTATGGTTTAAAAGATAGATATTTCCAGAGACTTGGGGGACTGTGAGTGACGAGGCTGTGATTTTTTTTGGCCAGTCCCTGCTCTCCCAGGGACGGGTGCAAGAGCAGAAGTCACCAGGTGTGAGTTTGGCGTTTTAACCTCTCAGCTCCCCACCGTGCAGCTTGGGGTGCTGCTGGGCTGGGTTCCTATAGTCACCCTGTGAAATCAAGCTCCCTTTGCAGCCTAGAACAAGGTTTTTTGGGGGGTTATGCTACTGAGCCCTGCTCTGGGCATCCAAGCCAGCGCGGTGGTGATGGTGGTGCTATGGGTCAGGAGTGGGGAGCTCAGTGCTGGTGCTTCCCGGTGCTGTAGTGGAGCCACAGCTGGTGGGTTCACATGGAGCCACAGTGTTCACTTAGAGCAGATAAAGCTCCTGGTGAGCTGCGGTCTTATTGCCAGCCCTGGGCACCTGCACCCGGCCACCTCCCAACCCAGGGCCACACCGGAGCCTCCTGAGGAGTTAACGGGGTTCCTGTGTGCTAACGGGGTGTGCTCCTGGTGTTGGGGCATTGGCAGCAGTGTGGGTGCATCTCTTGGGCAGGCAGTGGGATGTGTTGCTCTAAGACCATCCTGGGTGTGCTCATGCACGGAGCAGCCCTGGTGTGCAGAGCAGGATTGCGGTGCTGTGCTAGTTGTGTGCTTGGCTTTTCTGCTTTCCACCTCCATGCTGGTAAATCAGCACAGTGCCTCGGGGTGGAGGTCACTGTGAGACGAGGGATGTTGGGGTCCCTCCTGGGGCTCTGTGTGCATCTTGAACATGCAGAGGTCCTAATGTGAGGTGGGTGCATGCGATGGGCGCAGGGGCTGTGCTCTCTCTGGAGCCGGTGCTGGTCTGCGTGAGGGCACAGAGCAGGGCCTGGAGGCAGCTCACCCACAGGGCCAGCTTGGCCCGGCTACCTTCCTCCTCCTCCTCCTCTTAAAGTCCACAGTGGAGCCTCAAGCGCTCCCCAGCTCCCTCTGGCCCCGCACAAGGTGACCCCATCAATCTGCAGGGCTGAGGCAGTTTGATGGCACCGTGGGCAGCACTGGAATGGCGAACACGGGGCATGGGGGAGGCACTGACACGGTGGGATGAGCACCGCCGGACCGGGTGCCCTGGAGCCGGGGCACTGCGCCCTCCCGCCCGGGTCCTGTCGCACCCGTCCCGGCGCCCGCGCCGCTATTTATGGCTGGCTGTAAACAAACTCCCAATGAAAGAAAGTTAATGACCTGAGACTGACGGGAGCCTGCTGGGAGGTTTTATAGCCCCTGGGACTCCTTTTGCTGCGGAGAGAATACATCAGCGGGTTAACCCAAACCGGCGAGAGCAGTGCGGGGGCCAGGGGCGGCCCCAGCATCAGGAGGCGTTGCAGAGGGGCTGGCCCCGTGTGAGGAGAGGGGTTTTGTGGGGGTGACCTGTCTCTGGACCCTGTCTCTATCCCCTCATGTGGGACCGGGGTGTGCAGTCCTATGGAGGAAAGGCACGACCCAGGGCTGGGGTTCTCTGTCACCATCTGCCTCTTGTAGGTCATCTCTGCTAGAGCAAAGGCTGGCTTAGCGTCGCTGGTAACCACACACTAATAAAGCCTTAATACCCTGCAGCGGGGAGGTTTTGCTGTCAGAGAGAAATATTCACTTTGCTGCCAAATTCAGCCTTCGTTGCACAGCAAGAGTGCTGTGGGGGAGATGGGAATGATGCGGCGTGGGGTGCTCTGCAGCCCCCCTGTTTAATGCCGTGTCCCGGCTCACTGCAGGGTGGGAGTGTCGTGGTTGGTGCTCTCGGGGAGGATGGGATGGTGAGCATGGCACACGGTGCCCCGCTCGCTGCCTGCTCCCTTCCCTGCAGCCTCCATCTGCACGCAGCGCTTGATTTACCGAGCAGAGCTGGCAGTTAAACCTGACAAATTGAAGGCGGTTTTAAGTGGTTCAGGTTAATTAATAGTCAGGGAAGTATCAATTTTTTAAGGGATGCTCTTGGCTTGCAGGGAGGGCTGGAGCTTGGCTTT